GCAGAGGGAGAAGGGGGATTGCACACTGCACTGGCTGAGGTGCTCACAACAGCCCCTGTGATGAAAATGCTCGAGAGCCCCTCAACAGCAGACGTGCTCGAATTGCCAGGCCGACAGGTTCGAACTTGAGCCAAAATGGCTGTGGATGATGATGATGATGATAATGATGATGAGTAGGATGATGATCCTGATGCGGGTGATGATAAGGATGATCATGATGGTGCTGATGATAATGCTGATGGTGATGCTGCTGATCATGATGAATATGAAGATGAATATGAATATGATTGTGATGCGGATGATGGTGACGTTGAGGATGATGATGCTGATGTTGCTGCTGCTGCTGATGATGATGATGGTGATGAGGGGGAGATGATGACGATGCGATGGGCCCAAGGGAACGGATGGAAGGAGGGGCGAATAATCGGGAGGGAAGGAGTGAGGCGCGGGGCGTTGCTCAGGATGGTTGGGGCCTGCCTAAAGACGCTCCAATCGCCGCCCACGACCTATGTAGTACAGTCGGCCCGTATCGTAAGGATACGCGATAAGGAAGTATGGGCCCTGGACGCCCATTTCGAAGCTTTCGAGCGGAGCGCGGCCAACGAAAGTGGACAAGGATGGCCCGAGGAGGCAAGGATGCAAGGGTACCCTTGGGAATGATGCCCATCTTTATTATGCGGGTTGACTGTCGATGGCGCTGCAAGAATCACTCACAAGGAAAAGCCATAATGTCATAACAGTTCGCCTGCCCAAAGGGCCAACGGCGTGCTAAAATCTCCAGGAACAGCTTTAGAAATTTTGTAGTTCGCGCGCGCGTTGCTGCCCCTGGGGGTCCCCAGACGATAAGTTTCTCCCAAGACGGCGCTGGAGAGCCCCAAGACACCTCCAGGAAGACCCCTCGAGGGGGAGCCCCAATAGATATTTCGAGCGTCCGGCCTCAAGAGGCGTCCAGGCTGCCCCAAGCGGCCCTCAAGAACACCTCAAGAGGGTCCAAGAGGCCCCCAAGAGGCCCCCAAGAGGCGCCAAGAGAGCCCCACGAGGCATCCAAGGCGCCCCCAGGAGGCCCCAAAGAGTCCCGAAAACTGCTACACAGGAGCCCCTTAGAATTCTCCGAAGAAACACCAAGAACCATACATGAGGACTCTCACCTACAATCGCAGCAGCGCCGACCAGCAGCACCGCATGGCCCATGCACGCACGCGCAACTGCCAAAGATGGCACAGTACAAGCCGGCGGAATGAGCGAAGCGATTCAATGACCGGACAGCTCGCCCCTTGGCCCCCGAGCCAGCCCACGCCAACGGGCGAACATATATGCACTGGCGCAGCACCGCGCTGAATGCGTGGGCATTGCCTGGGCCTGTCAAGCGAGGGCCCAATACTGGATCGCGCGGCGTAGGGGTGCCGGCGCCGAGCGCAAGTTCATTCCCCTCCTCCCTCTTCATCCTCCTTCCGCCTCCTCCTCCTCGTCCTCCCTCTATCTACCAGTGTCACCCTGCCAGATCATCCGTCGTCGTCGTCCTCCTCCCTCGCCTTCCCTCCCCCACCTCCTCCGTGTCCCTCCCTCCTCCTCCTCCGCCTTCTCTTCATCCTGCTCCTCCTCCTCCTCCTCCTCCTCCTCCTCCTCCTCCTCCTCCTCCTCCTCCTCCTCTTCCTCCTCCGGGACACCATCTTAGCTCTCTGCAAACACTTTTGATCTGCGGGGCGGGAGCGAACCTCTTCCGCCACAAGCTAGGCGGGCTATGCACAGCTTTAATTAGGGAGACAAGGCACAGGAAGGCGGGGCCTCAGGCGGCCGGAGTGGGCGAAACCCACGGGTGCAGGCGGGGCCGAAGCTCTTTGCAAACACGACACACCAGCTTTGTGCGAGAAGGCATGGTGCCTAAGACGTGATGGTAAGTACGCTGCGTTCCCTAATGGAAAAAGTGATCTTGAGCGCGCGTGCGGCTGCAGATAGACAGACAGGGCTTCAGTCAAAATCAAGCATCACATACTTGTAATTAATTGTTCGCCCAACGCCCACAGCGATCCTTAATCCAGCGTTGTGGCTGCATGGCGCGCCGAGAACCCTTGACCGTCGAATCCGCCGATCAGTCTTGACCGCCCCCAGCGTGTCACATAGCACTGCTCGTTGCACTTCCTGCGGGTAGGCAAGCAGAAGCTCAACCAAAATCAACGTCCACATAAGCGAAATCAGCGTGACCAACTGGGCGGTCCTTTGCCCAACGTCCAATGTGATCCTTATTCCGACGTTGCGGCTGCATGGCGCGCCGAGAACAATTGACACCGTCAAATCCGCCGATCAGTCCTGACCGCCCTCAACGTGTCACATGACATTGCTCGTTGTCTTTCCTGGAACAACCTCGGCCCTTCGAGAAACGGCCAGCATAAACAGCTGATCCCTGGCGTACGCCTGCCAGCGAAATATCCGCACCCCCTTGGCCTAAAGCTGCCAGCGAAATCTCTCACCTCTTTGGCTTAAAACTGCCAGCGAAATATCCTCATCCCCCCTGGCCTAAAACCGCCAGCGAAATATCCTCACCCCCCTGGCCCCAAGAAGCGCCCAAGAGGCCCCAAGAGGTCCCAAGATGGCCCCACAATGGCCCCAATAGGCCCCCGAAAAATCCCCAGGAGGCCCCCAAGAAGACTTCAAGCGGCCCCTAAGAGGCCCCCCCCCCCCCCCCCGAGGCACCCAAGACGTCCAAGAGCCTCCAGGACCGCCAAGAGACCCCAAGACGTCCCAAGAGGCCACCAGGCAGCGCCCAAGAGATATCCCAAAAGGCTCCGAGAGACATCCAACTGACCTCTGGCACTTGTGCTTGCCCTCTTCCTCCTGCTCCTCCTTCCTCCTCCTCATCATCTTATGCATCCTCCCCCTCCCCACTCCCTCATCCATCCATCCAGCCTCCTCCTTCTCCTCCCCCCTCCTTCGCACGGTTCGGCCGTCCCCTTCTTTTCTCCCGCACTTCCCTGGATGGGCTGGTGGGGATACTTTTTGGATCGCGAGCACAAGCGAAAAAGGCCGCGCGCCGTCCAGGGCGACCGCTAACCAGCAGTAGCCTGAATTGCACACTAGAGAGAGGAGAAGAGAAGCTGGTGGGGATTTTGTGATCGCGACCGCAGCGAAGAAAGGTCGGGCGGCGCCCAGGGAACTGTGGGGATTTTGTGATCGCGACCGCAGCGAAGAAAGGTCGGGCGGCGCCCAGGGAACTGCAAACTAGCAGCGGTCTACAGCAGCGCAAAGGAAGAGGACGGCGAAACGAGAAGAACAAAAACGAGCAGGAGGGAGACAAACAGGAGGCGAGCCTCACTGCCGCTCAGAGGAACGCAAGCACCAGGAGGACCTTCTGGGCGACGTGCAACACCAGGAGGTAGTTCAAAAAACCCACGTTCCAGATGAAGAAGACCGCCGGAAAGACGAAAAGCAAACCGTGGACAAAGCCAGGGAGCATCGCAGGACGGCGACCCCCGTCACGGAGAGAAGGCAAGACACGCGGGCGCTCAACGGGAAATTCGAATCGCCAGACACCAAGTGGTGTCGAGGGGCAGCGGTGGATGCGAGTCCCAACCGAGCTGCAAGGCGGGGGGAAAGGCCAGAGGGCGGGACGCAGGGGAACGGCGGAAAGGCCGGAGAGGCAGCGGCGGCCGGCAGACGCCCAGGAGGCGAGAAGCACGAACGTCAAGAATCACCGGCTGCGCCCGAAACTAATACCAGCTGGCATACGTACCTAACATACCGTAGCCATTCCCAACAGTACAGTCAAGTTATGTAATGCCAAGCAAGAACACATGAAACAACATGAGAGCAACGCTGCTGAATTAGGACACACAATGAGCATGCCCGTCACGTCAAACGGTGAACAGGGTAACCGGCACGCTGTCCAATTGTTTATGCGCTGGGTACTGGTCGCACAGTATAGGTTTAACACGTGGTTCAATCAATTTACACACTACTGAGGTGGTGAATTCTGGCAAAACGTAGAATACGGATCGCGCCGTACAGGTGCAGCCTGTACCACGTATGGGCCGCACTGTGTAGGTGCAACATGTGGCTCTAATGTTTAAAAGCGGCAGCGCAGGTTGCCCCTGCTGGGCTGCAGAAGCCCAAACGACATAATCATAAGAAGCGCAGGTGCGACAGTGGAAACAATGTGTGGGTGCAACCCGTGCGATGTAAAACAAACACGCCAGCACATTATCAAACCGCTGTCATGCTAAAGGGTGCGCTGTCGAAACGTGGATATCTTTGCGTATGCACAAATGTTGTACAGCATGCGAACCACGGTTGTAAAACACCATATGCGGGTCGCATTGCGTAGGTGCAACACGTGGTCCCAAAACACGGGTCGCACTGTGTAGACACAATATGTGCAGATGCATAATGGTACCGCGTGTCGTGCCATCTCTGTCGCACAGCTACCGTCAATGTCATCGTCTGTCATGCTCTTCGCCCCCATGCTCCCTACCACCTCCCTCGCATCTGTTCATCCCTTTCTCCGCAATGATGATGCGCCTGGAGAAACCCAGTCTGCTTAGCTATGTGGCGTCCTGCGGTGCTACAGTGGCAAAACCAAACAACTACAGCGTGTGCGAGCATTTTTAACTCAGCGTTCAAACGCAACACATGCGATGCAACGCAAACGTGCCAGCAACACCATAACAGCACTGCAAAACTATATCACACGCGTAAAGCACTATACTTGTACATCGTAAGCCTGCACAGTCAAACATGATACTATGTTAAGCGTCAAATCGTTATGTTGCTAAGCCATAAACCACCGAAGTGTGGTTCTGATAGGCATCTCGCGCACCAGACTGGCAACCACAAACCCATTATTCATGTGCAGCTGGTGGTCAGTAGTGGCAAAGGAACAGCATACAAAAGCAGCGCTGTGTAGATACAACACGTGATCAACAACGCCAACTTACAATACACAGATCGCACTGTACAGGACAGGTGCACATGTGACCAACGTCTACAATCTATTTATGATGGCTACGTGAGAGACGCATGGGCATAGCGGTAACAAACACTACATATGTTGAAACACTGTACCCACAACCCGGGAACACGTAACTTATACGACACAGCAGTGGCGATCACGCGTACCATACACGTTTGTTGACATGATGCTTAAATCAGTAAAGTGTATATACATAATATTGGCATGCTGAGAGCCGCTTGTGTTAAACTAGCGCACAGTGAGGTACACTTTCCGTCGCATAAGCATCACATCTTAACTTACGCTAGTTCGCCCTACCTTGCTGTGAGAAAGCAACTCACGCGAGCCTGCTCGCGTAAGTGGGGAGGTCCAGGTGGCCTGCAAGGCACCCCTCACGAGGACCTGCGAGGCCCCAGAGGCTCGAAAAACTGGGGGCACCTCAAGACCACTTCTTTCCCGGCCCCGGGACCTGGTTTTCATCCTGAGTCGTTCTTTGATGGTCCCGGGGCCCTGCGAGGGCACAAACCAATGTCCCAAACCGTGAGCCGTGACTTCTTCCACGACGAGACCCCCCCCTTAGATCCGACGACGTGAAACGAATGCCACATTGTGGGGAATCACGACCAAACCCCAGACCACACGTGCCCGCGCCATTTGCCGAGCCGGATCGATCCGTGAGGGCCCCCGGGCCCGAAACCGGGCGAACAAACCCTCAGCTCGACAGAACGGGGGACGCCAGGATCTCAGGGGAGGAGCGGCGGGGGGGCCTCTGGCAGCGCCCGAGAGGTGGGGCCGCCGAGCTCGGCTCCTCCTCCCCTGGAGCCGCCCCAGGCTCACGGAGGGGTGCCCGAGCGCGCGGGATCCCGTGCGGGCGGGGGGGCGTCGAGGGAGAAGCGCCGCGCGGCGGAGGCTGCCCGAGGACGGCCGGGGGGGGAGAGGGGAGGACGGGGCTGATGTGAGGGTCCCGCGCGGGTTGCCAAGGGGATGTGGGCGTTACCAGTGGATGCCAAGGTGGGTGATTTCTAGCCTGACCTGACTTATACGTAGGCTTCAACTGCTCCATGTGGCTTAGGGGGTAGCGATCCAGGTGAAGTGAGCTTCGACCCACTTAGCAGGGTTCTCTTACGCCCGCAGCCACCTGGGGCAAGTGCAATCCACTTCTAAGCCAAGTCAGGCCAGGTATACCCCATCGTGGGATCCATTGATAACGTCCGTGTCCCCTTAGCACCCTCCGCGCCCATTCCAGTGGGGGTAGACGATGAAACCCAGGCGTCCTCATGTTGTGAAATTAGCCCGTCGGAGGACCCAGCCACATGCAATTGTGAATACCGTCATTGTGAGTATCGCCTTCGGTGGATCTCCTCATGGGCCATGAAGCGGGTGAGGGGTGCCGGAATGAGGAGGGGCCGCCATTCGAGCGCTGCCACTGGGGCTTCGAGAGTTGCGAGGAAAATGAAATGAAGGAGAGGGGCTAACAACAGGGGCCACTGGGGCCTTCGGCGGAGCACCCTATGAGGCCACGAAGCGTGTCAGAGGTTCGCCGAAGCGGGGGTTGGAATCGCATGCGGGCGCTGCCACTGGGGCCTTCGGTGGAGCTCAATATTGGGTCACGAAGTGTGTGATGGGTTCGCCGAAATCTGGGTGGAACTGCATGCGGGCGCTGCCACTGGGACCTTCGGTGGAGCTCCCTCATGGGCCACGAAACGTGTGAAGGGTTCGCGGAAATCGGTGTGAACCTGCATGCGGGTGCTGCCGCTGGGGCCTTCGGTAGAGCCCCGTATGGGGTCACGAAACGTGTCAGTAGTTCGCCGAAATGGGGGTTGGAACTTCATGCGGGCGCTGCCGCTGGGGCCTTCGGTGAAACGTGTGCGGGGTGCACCGAATGGATGTGGAACCGCATGCGGGCGCTGCCACTGGGGCCTTCGGCTCCGTATGGGGCCTCGAAACATGTGAGGGGTGAGAGGTGTGCCAACATGGAAGGTGGAAGTGCATGCGGGCGCTGCCCCTGGGGCCTTCGGTGGAGCTCCCTAAGGGGCCACGAAACGTGTGAGGGTTGCACAGAAGTGGGGGTTGAACTGCATGCGGGCGCTGCCACTAGGGCCTCCGGTGGAGCTCCTCATGGGGCCACATAACGTGTGAGGGGTTCGCCGGAGTGGAGGGTGGAACTGCGTGCGGGCGCTGCCACCGGGGCCTTCGGTGGAGCTCCCTGTGGAGCCACGGAGCGTGTGGTGGTGCACCGAAGTGGGGGTGGAACCGCATGCGGGCGCTGCCGCTGAGGGTTTCGGTGGAGCTCCCTGTGGGGCCATGAAGCGCGTAAGGGTTGTGCTGGAACAGTGACACGCGGAGGGTAAAAGCAGCGATGGGATCTGGGATGGGAGGAGGGAGGCGAGGAATGAAATGAAGAAGGAATGAGACGCGGGGCGCTGCCTTTTCAAAATGAGGACCTACCTCCACAAGATGGTTGGGACACATTTTCCTGACGAAGAACCCAGCCGTATGCAATTGTAAGACCATCGCTGTATGCACCGCCTTCGGTGGAGCTCCGTATGGGGCCACATACTGGGTCTGCCGAAAGGGGCGCGGTGGGCGCATGCGAGCGCTGGCATTTGGGCCTTCGGTGGTGCTCCGTATGGGGCCACGAGACGTGTGAGGGGTGTGTGCCAAAATGGGCGCGGTGGGCGCATGCGAGCGCTGGCGTTTGGGCCTTCGGTGGATCTCCGTATGGGGCCACGAAGCGTGTGAGGGGTGTGGCCCAATTGGTGCGGTGGGATCGTGCGAGCGCTGGCAGTTGGGCCTTCGGTGGGGCTCCCTAGGGGTCCACGCAACGTGTGAGGGGTGCGCCAGAATGGGCGCGGTGGGCGCATGCGAGCGCTGGCATGTATGCCTTCGGTGGAGCTCCCTATGGGGCTACGAAGTGCATGAGGGGCCTTCGGTGGAGCTCCCTAGGGGCCACGAAACGCGTGAGGGGTGTGCCAACATTGGGCGCGGTGGGCGCATGCAAGCGCTGACATGTGGGCCTTTGGTGGAGCTCCCTACGGGGCCACGAAATGTGTGAGGTGCGGATCAAAGTCGCGGTGGGCCCATGCGAGCGCTGGCACTTGGGCCTTCGGTGTAGCTCCCTATGGGGCACGAGACTTGCGAGGGGTGTGCCAGGTGCGGTGGGCGCATGCGAGCGCTGGCATTTGAGGCCGTCTGCGGGGCTCCCCATGGGGCCACACAGCGTGCGAGGGGTGTGCCAGGTGCGGTGGGCGCATGCGATCGCTAGCATGAGGGGCCTTCGGTGTAGCTTCCTATTAGGCAACACAGCGTGTGAGGGTTTCGCCAAAATGAGCGCGGTGGCCGCATCCGAGCGCTGGCATTTGGGCCTTCGGTAGGGCTCCCTATGGGGCCACGAGACGTGTGAGGGGTTTGCCAAAATGGGCGCGGTGGGCGCATGCGAGCGCTGGCAATTGAGTCTTCGGTGGAGCTCCCTATGAGGCCACGAAGCGTGTGAGGGGTGTACCAAAATGAATGGTGGGTGACGGGAGGAGGGAGAAGGGAGGAGAGGAGAGGAGGTGGATCGCGAGGACCCAACACCGTAGGACTGTTGAGAAAAAGTGACCAGAGGTTTTCGGGCCAGTTCCGCTCTCCGGGGGGGCCTCGTCGAGCCCCAGGACCGTCAAAAAGTGGTCGGGATAAAAACCCAACCCCAGGAAAGTGTAGACCTGTGGGGAAGCACGTTGTGAAATAACCACGACGCCGGATGTGTGGGAAGGGAGCGTGTGAGGAAGGGGGGTGGGGTGGGGGGTGGGAACGGAGGGTGCGAGAGGCGAGGCCGGGACGATCGCTAAGGGCAGGGGGCGATTTGCCACGGGGTCCTTATGGATACGGGCACTGAGCCCCTGCTGGGCTGTTTCCCCTCCCCCAGACCCCCGACGCCGTGATTTTTTTACAACGTCGACTCCAAAGGTCTGGACCCCTTCCCCGGGGCCGGTTTTTTCATCCCGAACCGTTTTTTGACGGTCCCAGGGCCTGGTGTATGCCCCTAGAGGCCGAACATGGCCAAAAACCTTCCGTCGTGTTTTTGGTACAGCAAGAGGAGGTCTGGGCCCCAGGGGCCCGTATGTCGTCCCGAATCGTTCTCTGACGGCTCTCGGGGCCATGGGGGGGGGCTTCGGGAGCTCGAGCACGGGGGGCCTTTCCTCCAGGTCCCCCTTTCCTCCAGGACCTTCTCTTCCTTCATTGGCGACTGATGGAGCATAGGGCCGGGATGGCTGGGGAACCAGGGTGGTGGCGCACTCCACGGGAAAGAGCCCAACCGCTCAGCCCTCCTCCCTCTCCCTCTCCCTCTACCTCCCCCTCCCGCGCCACCGCGGGCAAAGCGGTACCTCTCCGCCGAAGCCAGCGCCGCGCCCGCGCCCGCCGCGCGCGGCGCGACGCGCGACCCCTTACCTCGGAGAGCCTCGGGAAGGGGCCTCAAACAGCCTCTGGGTCCCAGGGCAACCCGCCGCCGGGCAGGTGCCTCGAGGGGCCTCGGAGAGAAGGATCGCGGGAGCCCCGAAAGCCCAAGGGCCCGAAAGGGCGACGGAACAGCGCGAGGACGGAGCGAGGACGAGGGGCCTCCTGGACCGAGGGAAGGAAGGCGGAACCGAGGGCCAGAGGCGAGGGTGAGGCGAGAGGGAGGGGCCTCCTGGGAGATCGAGGAGGAGTGCGACCGTGGTCGAAACCTCTGGGGTCCTCGGGGGCCTCAAGGCTTGCGGCCGCCGCCCGACGTTGCTCCTAGGTCTTCGCCTACACCCCCTCGCCCCGCGAGGGGGCGTTCTGGAAGGTGTAGTTCAGATTCTTGTGGGCGCTCTGTCCGTTCGCGTGGGAGTAGCTCCTGTGTTTCTTCCTGTGCCCCTGTTATGGGCGGGTTTGGTGATCAGCATCCTGTGTTCGTCGTGGTTACCGTCATAGGGCCAGCCCTGTACTTGTCGCGACGCATCCGCAGCACGTTGGATGGTCTCACCAATGATGTCCCCGATCTCGCTGTAGCTGGTCGTGTGTCCGTCGTTCAGAACAGCCGTGTAGCTGTCGGTGACCTTCACGTGCGGGTGCCTTCTGGGCATCTTGTGTTCGTCTGTCTTCAGGCATCGAAGCGTCTTACAACATACGATGACGGGTGTTGCAGCTTCCAGTGTGGTGAACATAGCCGTGCTTATTTTGTACATGATGTGGTTGTCACGAGTGATGTTGCGTTGCTGTTGTGTGGTGGGTTGCTGGTGTCCCCATAGCTAGTTCTGTGTGCGGCGTCGGTTGTCGGCTTGGAATGGCTCAAGGTTGGTACCGATGATCTGGATAACAACGCGCCCATCCGCCATCTGCTCGTGAGCACGTTGGCGCATGTCGTCGTAGGTCTCGCTGTCTGGTCGGATGGTGTGAGTCTCGATGCTGGTATCGTGCAGGGCCACGTACTGCTGGATGGTGTCAAGGAGTTCGTGTGTGGTGGTGGTGCTAGTGGTCGTGATCAGGATGGTTGTTGGTGGTGTCCTGCTGCGTGTGTTCGTCGTGATGCAGGTCTCGTCACGGTGGTGGTTGGTGTTCTGTTGACTGCCGTGTGGGATCCGCGTCGGAATCGGGGCGCTGGGGTCGGGGTCGTTGATGAAGGGCCCGGTTGGTGGTCCGTGAAGCTGAAGTGGCGGCTGCTCAGCGAAATCTTCAGGGAGGCCAGCATGTCGGTTGTTGCGTCTGATGCGCCTTACTCCCGCTTTGTTGGCTTCCACCTCGTCGGGCTTGGCTCTGAAGCTGCTGGCGCGCCAAGAGGCCGAGCAAGTGGCTGACGCTTTGACGTGCTGGATGAGCCTGTTGGCGGCGTGGTAATACTTCATGCAGGTCTGGCAGGTCTCACCGCTGACGATGTTGCTGATGTCTTTGTCGCTTTTTGTGGTTCGTGTGTACGTGCTTGTTGTGGGCTGCTTTGTTCTTAAGTGGTCACACCTAAGTGGTTCGTGGTCGAGCTCTTCGCGTGCGTCGCCACGCTGGCGCGGTGATGGTAGTAGCTCAGGTGATGCCGCAGAGGTCGTAGCAGTTGCCCGCCAAGTGTCGGGTCTGGTCTGCTCCATGTTCTGGTCGTTCGAGCGTTTGCAAGCGTGGGAAAGGGTGGGCTTGAAGTAGCTGGGGTCGTTCCTGGCCATGCTGGCGAGCTCCGCGATGTCATTGGGTGCTCTGGTCTGCCGGCTGTAATCGCAGTGACGGCAATGGTGTTGGAGGCCGTTGTTGATTGCAGTCGTCCAAGCCCCGCTTCGTTTTATATCGTAGTCTGCTAGCGCTTGTAATTATGGTGGGCATTGGCGTGCGATTCGTATCGCTTGTCGTACTCGAAGTCGTCGTAGCCGCTCTTGTAGTGACGGGAGTCCAGCTTTCTCGAGGATCTGGTCGTTGGCGATACGATTGATGCGCATCTGGTCGTGGGTGATTCCGATGGCCTGTCTGGCTGCAGATACGTATGCTGACGTGAGTCGGTTCGTGTCGCGTTGCTTTATGATGATCCAGGTGCCTGCGTTGAATAGAAACTTCGGGTATCCAAACGCTTCGAAGTAGTGTATCTTGGCTTTGGTGGTAGCTGCGCGTCTTTTGAATAGTTTCTTTCGAAGTGGTCCCGCTGTCTGCCGAAGTGCGATGGTCCGTGCTGCTACTTCCTGCCCGAGGTCGTTCCTGTCGTTGAAACTCGCACCAAGTAGCTTGGTGCTCCTGGTGATGGTGACCGTGAAAACCATGTCGGCAATGCTGCGGCCCTCTTGGATCATGGTGCGCGCAACGCGCTTTCCCACGGCGGTGTTGGGGTAGACGATGAAATTTGATTTGCCAGTGTTAATGGGCAGGCCTTTGCTCGAAGTTGATCGAATCATATGTCCCCGCATGGTTGTGATGATGTCGTGGATGTCGTCGCCGCTGTCGGTCGTCGCTGCCGCCTTGACGTCGTCGGCAGAAGAGGTGGGCGATAAGTATTGGTCGCTGTCGTGCCATTGCAAGTGCCGGGGTGCTGAAGGTATCGGCGCGACGGCGCCATCCTGTGCAGCGAGTTGGTGGCATTCGCGAGTAACGTCGGCCATGAGCGCGTTGAAGGTGAAGTCCGCAGTGGGCGATCCAGGCCTCGACCCCAGTCTGGGGGCAGCACGTGCGGCGTCCTGGTGCACGAAAAACCAAGAAAAAACACGTCTCCTTGTGCGCTTCGATGAGCATGTGGAGGATGTGCTGGTTGTCCACGTGCCTGTTGACGATCCCGTTGTCAGCCACCAACTTGGTGATGACTGGGATCATCGTCTCGGGGATGTCGACGTGGTCGAGGATGTCACTGATCTGCCCTTCGCTGGGTTCCATGCTGTAGACGAGCTGGTTGATCACTTTATGGAAGGCGGCTTTCAGGTCGATCATGGTGATGACGAGGTCGTTCTGGAGCGACTGGACAGTGTCGAAAAGAAGCCTCATGGTGATATGGTTGAAGTCGGTGCTGTAGTGCCGCCTGCCTCCTGTCTGTGGGAGACATCATGTCGGGAACCAGATCTTGCATGCGCTGCCTGATGTAGCGGTAGTGGTGCTTGACGACAGTGTTGGCAAGCGTGGTGGATCGTTGGTTTTTCGAATGCCTCCTCTGCTCCAAGGACCTTCCAGAAGTAGGTCATCCGTGACCCTTTGTGGGCGACGCTTTCCCTGCAGTAGAGCGCGGCCTTGGCAATGACGAGATGCATGTGTCGTGCTACTTCTCATGGCGCGGCCTTCGCCAGATCGTCGGTGATGCAGTCGGGCCCAGGAGCGCGGTAAGGCTTGACGCTCGCTCGGATGTCCCGACGCTCATAGATGCTAGTGAAGTTGTCTACGTGCCTGCTGATGTGACTGGTGTCGGGCTGGTGGGCGTTATTGCATCGGTCGATCACCTGCCGCTGCGTCATGATCTCCGCCGCCTCATTGCTGCCGAAGTGCTTTGTGGCTTCTGTGGCTTTACTTGCCGTGCTATCAAGAACGTCACCGCCCGCAGAGATCAGCATGGGGCATGCTCGCTTTCTCAGTCTCTTCTTCCGCTGAAAAAGAGCAACTTCTTGGTGTACTTCCACTCGGTGAAGAAGTCGCCTTGTTCTTTGGCCGACATGGCTAGCTGCGCCTGCCCTTCCAAGAAATGGTCGTAACCCCTGTCGGCCATTCTGACGATGCACTTTCGGGTCGCGTGGATCCACTGCTTTGCGATGTTGAGGAATGTCGTGTGGTCAAGGTTGCCGTCGGTGTAGTGCGCAAGGTAGTGGAGCTGATGCGTCTCGCTGCACGCCTGCTGGATGGCTTCGGCTGTCATGTGCAGGGTGGGGCTGCCTTTTCACTGCCGGCCGTTGTGGCCCTCCGTCGGTCGCATTCCTGACGTACTTCATAAACTTCCTCCTACACAGTACGAATGCGATTTTATCTTGAGTGACGTATTCTTGGTATGGTCTGTGTGCTTGTCGTGCGAAAGATCTTTGGGCGGCCTCCATGATGGTCAACATGTGATAGTAGACGTGCTCGTCGTAGTTCATGTCCCATGCTGGTAAAGCAGTCGAGTTGAGCTCGTTCTTGAACTTGTCGTTATTGAGCTCGTTCTTGAATTTGTCAATGGTCCAAGTCGCCGTTTCCGTGACGGGCGTGTGGTCCTCCCTCTGGTGGTCGTGCGTCTTCTGCTTCTTCATGGTCTCCAAGTTGCTGATGGGGCGGACGTCAGTGATCTTGGGCGTGAGGCCCTCGTTGGCCATGATGTAGTCCAATATGTGCTTGTTGCCGCGTCCGTCTCGCCAAGTATGGTGCTCCTTGCCGTTGAAGATCTAGGTGTTTATCATCGTGTACCTTCCGTCCGCTGCCGTCTCGTGAAGCTTCTTGCCGTTGCCGTCCTCCTTCTGCGGGAGGCCCTCGTTTCCAACCCACTGTGCCCGCGCCTCTCCGACGCGTCCGTTGGCGCCAGTCAGAATGACGTCGGGCTTGCACTTGCGGATGCATCCGTTGGGGGCGCCCCAATATCTGTTCTTGCCCTCGTCGCTCTTCTTGTTGTGCGGGGCGTGGTTGACGCAGATGGTGATGTTGGCGGTGCCATCCTCGACCTTCACGATCAGGAAGCGCGGTTCGCTGACTAAGACGTGGAACTGGCTTGACAGAAATAATTGCGGTCCAGCCTTGCCGCGTGCGAAGGGCTCGTCGAGGTTGATCCACAGCTCGCACCCTGTGTTGTAATCCCCGTGCGGGCTGCTGATGACGTAGGAACCGTCGCTCGTGGATTCCTTCCGCTCGTTGCGCGCCTCCTGAATGCCGATGAAGTGGAGCTTGTGGTGGCGAAATTGTTGTCTTAGTACTGTCACTCGCCAGTGGTGGGCTAGCCGTGCTGCTCGCGCGTGCTTCTTCTGGTGTTTCTCGTTTGCTTCCCTCGCGCTCTCCGCGTCCGCGCTGCCTGTCGCAAAATTCAGTTTCACCGTCGCGTCAACCGTCGCGGTGGCGCGGGGGGCCATGAGGTGGTGTGGTTATGCCTCTTTCGGTGGTGCTCCAAATCGAAGGTGACTTTCCGCTCTTGTCGGGTATGCCGCTCGATCAGGATGCTCGGGCTGCAAGGTCGCTTCCCATTGATCGACATTTGTTTCTCTCATGCTATCCTTGAAAATTTACGGCATGTGTTCGTAGCCCTTTCCGTCGTCGCACTGTTCCCTTGTTATTTGGGAAAGTCCGTCGGCCAGCTCCTTCCATGGCATGCCTTCGTGGCCGGGTACGCGTACCATAGAAACATGAACTTATGCGCGCGCCGTGTCGCACAACATCTTCATGAATTGTGGCAGGTGCTCGTCGGCTGAGGCTGTAGCTTCTCCTGTGCAAATCTTGATGGCCGTCTCGCAGTCGGCGTGGACGCATATCTGCTGAACGTCGGCCGTCGCGATGGCCCACCTGAGAGACTGAATGATGGCCATGATTTCGCCCGTGGCATTGGTAATGCTGTTCTTTCCGATGTGCATGCCGTGGCTCTCGCGGACGCTGCTGCTGAACGCGCCTCAGAAGGTCCGCTGCTCAAAGTCCTCGCCTGCTTGTAAAACCAAGAATGCCCGGGCGCAGCTCTCGGGCCGTCGCGCGTTGCGGGAGGCGTCTGTGAGGATGTGCTTGATGTTGTGGTCGCCGTTGCCTTTGGTCGCAGTCGCGAGAGCGTATGTGGCGGCTGGATGCAGGTCGTCCCCCTCCACGTTGTAGTTGAGAGAGGGTGCTGTGGTTGCTCTGATTCTACGTCTCAGACTTCTGGTGTCTCCAAGTTCGCACGCGTGATCCTGCCGCTGCTGCGTGCCCCGGTAGATGCTGAGGCCGAGGTCGTCGTGCGCTGCGTTTGGTGCTGTCTGTGTGGCTTTGGCGGACGGGGTCTTCGTTTTGGTTCTACATGGTTGCATAGCTAGTGTGTGTTCGTGGCTGTGGCTGCGGCTGCTGTCTTTGGGTCGCCCTGCGCTCGCTTCGTGATGTGTTTGCTGGGCCTTTGTTGTGGGCTTGTGTCGAAATGGTAAAATTGCAGTCCGCTTTGGTCGATGCTGCGAGTGCTCTGTTGATCGCTGAGATTTGGGCTGGTCGCTGCGGTGGTGATGGTGGGCGGTGGAAGGTTGTGCTGGTGACGGTCGTGGGATCTTGGGCTGGCTGGTATCGTCGTGGTGCGGGGTGGTATCGTTGGCAGCATTTTTCATAGATGCTGTCTGTGCTGCTGGCTGCTGGGTAGTCGTGAGGATGTCGGGCTCGTTCGGTCGGTGGTTGCGTGGAGGTGGTTGGGGCGTGCTGGGTGCTTTAGTCTGCGGTTGCGTGTCGAGTGCCGCATGTCGATTGTGGGTCGTGGGCGCGTTGGTGCTGTGCTGTTTGCGTTCTCGTCGGAGTCGTCGTTGGACTCGTGCAAAACGACGCCTGTCGATCGTGTCTTGATTGCCGTTGTTGTTAGCCGGTCCGTGAACGTCGCCGTCGCAGTTTGATTCGTCTTGACTTTTCGCGTCGTCGGATGCGTTGAAGAAAGTGTCTGCGACGCCGTCGAATTCGTCAGTCCTTTGATGAACTCGGTCGTCTTGCACGGTTGGCGCCTGCAAGCCAAAATGGCCAGTCGCCTCTACTGCCAAGTCGGACTGGGGTCGGTTCGACCTGGGTGGCGCGGTTGCCGTGGTCTCGCCTGGCCTCGTCCTGGGCGGCGTCGGGGTCTGGAGTCGTGCCCGTCGGTGTCGGAGTGATGGCGGTCTGCCTTCTCGATGTGCGTCTTCCACGAGATCAGCTGGAGGGAATCTCTCCAGTCCGATCGTGGCGACTGACGTTGCGCGCTCAACGTTCGAGTGGATTTCCAACACATCGGGCGCCATGCTGCCGTCGTTTCTCCCAGCGTCGGTGACTGTTGTATGCTGCTGCTTTTTATGTTGGCCATCTTTTGTTGGAAGCATGGTCAAGGTGGTTGTCGAAGTGGCTGTCCTGCAAGTGAGCTGCCCCCAATGCTGTTACTTGCGCGTTGCGGTCTAGTGGCAAGTTCTCTCGTAGTGGGAGGTGCGGTTGTACCGCGTAGCAAGTCGCCGCCACCGCAGGGGTCGGAAAGCTGGTTGCGTCGTGGTGGTTTAGGTTGTCGCTGGTGCCTTTCGGCATGGTAATAGTTGACAGTCGTGTGGTCGTTTGGAGCCGACCAGAAGCTCTGCGCACTGGTGGCGGGCTATCCTGCTGGGCCTCTTGGATTGGTAGTCGTGGTGGTGTCTGAGGTGGTGCTTGGTCGCCGTCGCTGCTCAGGTCGGTGAGTAGGGCACAGGTGGGTTGGGCATCCTCGCTTTCAAGTTCGTGCTGGCTGGCTTCGGGTGGTGCCGAGAGTGCTCGTACTTCTGGGAATATGGACGTGGGTGCTGCTGCTGTAGTTGGCAATTGTCCTGGCGGTTGGTAGCTGCGCGGGGTTGGTTGCTCAGTCGGCATGGGCGTCGTACGGGTGCGCTGGTTGGGCGTGTAGGTGGCCTCTTCAGCTAATCCACGGCCGTCGTAGAAGTCGGGGATAGGTGTGTGTGTGTGTGTGTGTGTGTGTGTGTTCCGTCTTGCTGCTCGCGGTCGTAACCGTCCTCGGCGATGGGCGTCGGTGAGATGTCGTCGTCGCTGTCGTGGCAGGGCCGCCTGTTGCCTCCTGTGATCGTTGTGCCGTCTGCAATTGCGATGCTGTCTGGCAAGCGCGTCGCATCGCTGTCGAGGTGGAACTCCGAGGGTTGGGCGCGCGCGGGGCGGGGCGCAAGCGGCAGCACGGGCGGCATTGTCGGAGGAGGTGCGGGCGCAAACCCCGACTCCGTCAGGCTGAATTCCCTGTCCGTGGTGTTTTGCGTCGCGCCACCTTTCTGCTCCATGTTGTCGAGCTCCAGTGCGCAGGGCTCGGCGTCTGGTTGAAGTGCTTCATGTGGTTCAGGTAAGGCAGCATGTAGGCATTGAACAGTTACGCGTTGGATGTGTTTCTCTTCGCTGGCAAGATGCTGCCCCCAGCGCCGGTTGTCCTCATCTTCCTGGAATTCGCGTATCAGGTCCCTGACGGTGTCGCAGTCGGTCTCCTCTTGTGTCTGATTGGCGGTCACGACGGCCTCCTCCAGACGCTGATGCTGTTGCCGATGTCGTGCCCTCTCCTCTTCCATGGCGTGCTGCGCGCTAGCGTTGTTCTCGTCGAAAATGTACTGATGGTGCTGGATGCGCTGCGAGTTGATCTGGGCCTCCTCCTGCTGCCATTCTTCGACCTTTTGGATGTGTTTCCTCGGGGCCTCCGTGAACTGAGCTTGCATCTCCCCGTGGGTCTCGAGCAACCGTTCTTGGACGTGGGCTTGCTCTTCTCGTTGCGTCGCAGCTCGTAGTCGGGTCGTCTTGCCGCCCTGCTCATGCTGCATCTCCTCTTGTCTGTGCGTGTACCGTGCCTGGAGCTCCGCGGCGGCACCGTGGAGCTCCGCCTTCCGTTGACCGTCGCGCTGCAGCTTGGCTTCGTGGATCTTCTGTAGCTCGGCTTGAAGTTCCGCTCCATGTCGGAATTTAAGTTCTCGTAGTTCGACTTCCCTCTGAGCGATCATTGCCTGGATCTCCTGCTGGTATTTGTGTTGGTCCGTGGTGACTTTCGCTCTGGCAAACTCGTAGACCACTTTGGCTTGCCCCTGGAATTCGAGTTGCATGCGTCGTCGTTCTCGTTGAAGACTTTCAGCCTGCTCGTGAATCCGCTCTTCGTGGAACCTTGCCTGCTGCATCTCCTGGGCTCTTCTTGCCCTGTGCTGGTCGTGCTTGTCCTTGTCCGCTTCGGCCTCTCTCATTTCCGCTCTTGCCTCCGCTTTGTAACTCTCCACCTCGTGCAAGTGCGCCTCTCCCTGCTTGTTGGGAACGTTTGTGGTGATCTTGAGAAGCTTGTCGGCAGCCTCCTGCTTCTGGTGATCTAAGCTCTTCTGCATGTTCCGTATCTTCTCGGTAAGGCCCCTGATATCGTCGCGCTGCTCGGCGTGCTTCTTACTTAGGGCCTGCTCCAGGGCCTCCTCGTGCTGCGCCTGCTGCGTGTAGATCTTCTTGTTGAGGTCGCTGATGAGCTGCATGATGTCTTCGTCGGGCTTGCCACGATGCTGTTTGTGTGGCGTGTTCCTTTGGGATTCCCTGCCTTCTATCGTCTCCTCCTTGCCGGTGCTCTTTCTGAGGTATGGGCCCATGCGCTCGTCATCTCTGTAGTCTCCTCGGCTTCCTCGTCTCCATCGCAGCTGGAGTCGTCCAACATTTCCCTTAGGCCTTC